ATTATATTATGTGTATTTGCATTTGATAAATAATGAAAATGTATTAAACACATGTTTACACGTATAATATAATGACAAAATACCATTTAAATTTAAAACCGTATTAAATAATGCAGAAGCTTATGTGTACGCATGTTTCTAACATTAGAAAGTTATAATCAAAAATTTCGTTGAAAGTAAATATTGACGTTGTCGTCAATATTTTGTGCATGTACATTTACCATTCGTGTTATTTTGTGCAATGATGTACTATCGATATATTAAAAAATAAGCTTTTCTATAATCAGAATACAAGTACTTAAAATGATACCAATTTGAATGAAAATAAGAAGCGATACTATACTGATTAGGATAACCGGTTGGTGCTTGGTCATATCATTAGATTTCTTTTTAAATGACAAATTTAAAAGACGATTTATCATACCATTCTCGAAAATTTTCTGCAATCTCGAACGAGATAATATTTTAACATACAGTAAATAAACATTTACATTATTAGATTCTTGTGTTCTTACATAGAAAATTGATGACATCGGTAAATGGATTGTTAGATTGCTTAGATAAAACTATAGCCATATTTTTTACATATCCTGTCTCAACACAGACCACATTGGACGGTATTTTATGATCTACTGACATTTTCATTTCGTCGAAAGCATAGATTGCTAGATTTCGATTTTTACAAATCTGTAATTTAATAACGGATTTTAATAATTAAACTATATAATAAATTTAACAAAACTAAGCGGCTAAACTTCAGAAATGAATTCCTCATTTGTAGAGAAGAAAAAATATATTCTATCAGCATGGTTTCGTAGATGCTTAATTTCTGCATTATAAGATTAATCTTACCATTAATACAATCAAATAATGTTTACTTTATTTGTTGAAATGAAATCTGAGAAACTAGTTAAACACTTTTTGTTGCACTGAATGCTTTTATCACTTGCAAATACTTACAATCATAACTATGTACATTTTGGAAATTATATATAATACATAACTATGTACTAATTGAGATCTATTTTCTAGCAGAAAGTGGATATTTCGAATGTCCTTATAAATCACATGTAAGAAAATGTGAAAAGGAATCATAATTCCAGTAAATTAATATAATTGGATTACATTAAGGTAAAGACCTTATACTAAAAGACCTTATACTTAAAGACCTTATACTAAAAAATTAGATATTTCCGAATGTTGATGCATACGTGCGAACCTTCAACAATTCACAGTACTTTCTCTTAAGAGTCATCTATCATTATCGAGGATATCTGCCCTTGGGAAATCGTTGAATACCCGCTAAGAAAACAAATAATAAAAGCTTCTTTAATCAAGCACGTAGTCTGCAATAAGTATCGAGCCATACAATAAATAAACAATGAAAATAGACTCCTAAACAAAACGAGCCATGGATTTGTTGGCACTTACTCTTTTAAATACAACATTCATGAGTTCATATGATCACTGAGACAAAGGACCATACATGAGATTATTTAAACATTTCGAATGAACTGTCCTAACACACTTGTACTATCTTTCGCGAATAGTTCGAGAGAAATCAAAAGTTAGTTGACAATAAGCATTTGCACTCACCAGTAAGGCAACTGAGTCTTTCCAACATCATTATTCTTCATTCCGAAATAGCTATTTCCGGAATAGCATAAATAACTACATCTTAAGAAACAAGCATATCACAACTGTACCTCATTTCTTCGAAATACATTGTTATAATTTCAATTCGCAGAGTATTCTTTAATGTGCGTCTATCTCACTAAATCTGCGGAATCTTCCAAATATATTTTGTTCTCCCCTTAATTTGTAGGAACGCGGCAAGCAATATTTTGCTGATGATTTTCAATAATTTCCGAACCTTTTGCCGCCGCCCTTATTCATTATGACCAATAGGTTTTCGACTCTGACAACTAGGAAAAGACGGATACAGATCTTCTATGCGAATCGACTATCATCGCTGGCGGTGCGCGAAATGCAAACAAACCTGCTCTCGTAGTAGCAAATTATCTACGCAGCACCGAAGCCAAGATGATAGAACTACATTTTTCTCCTCTACATTTAAGGAATCCACTTCTGAAGTTGTTTCAAGTAATTTCGTTACACCTTGTGTATGTAAATGATATTTAATTTTTTTTTATATTACTTCATCGTACATTCATATATCCTGCCATTATAATTAAGAGCAATTTATCCTTTTCTAGCATCTATATATATATATGAGACGTTTATTTTGAAAGTGGCCTAAGTCCATTTATCTTCAAATCGAGATATTTAAGGGTTTGCGTTTCAATGAATTTAAAAATATACGTATAGGATACTAATGAGTCATACTATTTAAGTGTATCTAAGGGTGTTAAATTTATAATTCCTATTAAAATAGTGGCAATTATTAAGTGAATAATATGCGTTTTCTTATCAAGAATGGAGTTAAGCCACTTTCAAAATTAACAATCAGATTCATTATAAAATTTGAAGGTGCCCAAGTCCATTCAACATAATTTAAGATGCTTCAAATTGAAAAGAACAATACTCAATTTATTTAACATATCTTTAAAACACTTCGAAAACATAATTTATGCGATTCAAAACATTTTTTAACTACATAACGTACAAAATTACAAACATAAATTTATTACAAAACAATTTACTACTCATCTAGATTTTGTGTGTGTGAAAGGGATTTGAAGAAATCATGATGTTCCGGTGGTATATATCGTAATAGGTCAATTATGTCCTTGAATTTTGCTGTTGTAATTTGTCTGATATTTTTATATAGTGGTGTCACAATATTTTCGAACTTTCTTGGTTTACCCCGACGTGATAATAAATTCAGAACTTTAAAATTTTCATTTTCATTCATTGATGTCTTATAGAAAATTTTATACGGTTTATTTCTGACAAAACTAAATAAGATAAAAAAAATGTTCATCTATACAAGCTATTTATTTTCCACTGAGCCATATTGTGGTTACACCAAATAATACAGAAAGCTTAACTATAATACGATGTTTCCCGATTTTATTTGTATCTTATCCCACTTCAACATCTCAAAAATTTTGATATCTAAGCTCAATTTAATTTAACGTTATTAAATAAGACGAATTAGCTCCAGCTGACTCGTGTAAATAAAAGAATTTTTGCGCACCTATACTATTAGAAATGATAGAAAATTACAATGTTCATCTGCGGAAAGTAGTAGAACAGAAATCCATATAAAGTTTTGTATCAACATTATATAAATTATGCATCTATTATAATTTGTGTAATTTATTAAAAACGGCATTGAAAAACAAATGTTTATATTAGGATTGACGAATAAGCCAGACCAAACAGGTACAAAATATTTGAATTTCGATAAGGAAGTAAATTATTATTTTTATGGAATTATCCGAAAGAAATCTAATACTAATTGTAGTTGTCAATCGATTAATTACCCATACATGAATCAACTGAAAGCACAGAAAAAACCATACGAGGCCTTCATAAGAACCGAAGAGGCAACCATAACATTCGATATGGACAATGAAAGAACTGTAGTATTATATGTTAAATTTCATGTTTAAACAATTGATATTGCTTTATATCATACGCTTTCCAAATGGTGAAAACGTTCGTCTTTCGATATTATTGAGCTTCACAACTGATAAGTATATAATCTCTTGTAATCCGCTGACTTTGAAAATTCTTATCTGAACATTTTAAGTTAAAGAAACATGTTCGGACGAGTATAAATGCTAAGTCATTCACACATGTTAATTTTTGAGAAAATTTTCAAAATGAATCATTCGAAAATTACAGAGAAAAAAAATAACTATTTACAGGATAGCGCATTGTTCAACAATGGTTAAATGAGCTTACAGCGGAAGTTTATGGCAAAGATATAGAAAAAACTTATCCCACGTTAAAGAATTTAAATAGGTAAGGCGAAGATATAGAAAAATAACTAAATATATATTTATAAATAAAGTTATGTTACAAACAAAGAAAACTTTTTAAAATATATTTGTATTATCGTAATTTCAAAACTGATATTACTTTTTAAACGATCCTCATATACATGTATGTACATATAAGTATTATATAACATATTATATATGTTATATATTATTATATATGTAAAGAAAGTATATTTTCTTCAGGTAGATTTGCCGCGCTTTTCATGTCCCGCCCTTTCATTGTCTTTTGTTATCTACAAATCGAGCCGTTAAGATTTGAAAGAGAAACGGGCAGTAGAAAATAGAATTTAGACGAGAGAAGTAGCACGAGAGTTTACAAAGAAATTTTATAAAAGATAATACATTAAATAAAATTTAAGTAGTGTGAATAATAAACGTGAATTGTCGTTTCTTTGTTCACAGGTAAGACTGTAAATAGCAAATAATTATTAATCAACAAATAAAGACTTATTCCTTTATTCACAGAGAAACATATTTTCGTTTATCACCTCACCCAATAGATCCGAGATATATATATATATATATATATATATATATATATATATATATATATATATAATGTTTATAATACAATTTTATTTTATGATATATAGATACATATATGAATATATTGTATATAACAATGTATATACCTTACAATTGATTGGTATTATGGAAAATTTGACATGTTGTTCCGATCAAATTAATTCGTTTCAAATAGAATAATATGATTATTGAAGAAGAAGAGAAAGATTAATTCAGTTATATCGCTAAATCATTATTCTTAAAACATCATAAATAAAACTTTCTTTTTTGAATACGAAATACATAACTAAATCATACTTTGTACAAATAGGCAAAATCGAAACAGTTCAAAAGAGTTAACACATACGTATTTATTTCATATATTTATATACATTTGATAAATAAAGAAAAAATTTTATTTCGATTTAAAACTTTAGTAAATAATGCAAAAGATAAAATATGCGTACGCGTGTTTTTATTCCATTAGAAAATAATAATAGTTGAGAAAGAACATTGGCGTTTTTATTAATAATTTTCGCGTGCACATTTACGATTTGCGTAATATTTTCCAATATTTCTTAACCTTTTCTTCCTTTTTGCATAAAATCCTGGCGATTTAATTGACGGAATATAATGTACCATCGACATTTTCCTCCTTTTATCAGCAAAAATAAGCTTTTCTACTATCAAAATACAAGTACTCAAAATGATACCAATGAGAATGAAAATAAGAAGTGACATGACGCTGATTAGAGGAACAGGTTGATGCTTAATTATATTATTGAACTTCTTTTTAAATGTCTTCTCTCTTAAACGACTCATCATACCATTGTAAATATATTTCTGTAATCTAGAATGAGCTATTGTTTTAGTGTATGATAAATAAAAATCAACTATTAAAAAAAGCAACTATTACAAAAATCAATTATTAGATTCTTGGATTCTTACTTAAAATTGATGAGATCGGTGAAAGGATTGTGCTTAGATAAAATCATTGCAATATTGTTTACATGTCCTGTAGCAATATGAACCACATTGCATGGTATTTTCAGATTTGCTACAGCACCTTGATCAACCGTGTAGAAAGCCAGTTTCCGATTTTTACAAATCTATAAATAAATAATGTATATCTATAATAAAATTAATATGATTTATAGTAGAATAGAAAATAAGTGACAAATCTTTAGGAATAGTTCTTCATATAAAAGTCTTATTACGTAAAAATCAAGCAATTCTATACGAATTATTGATGAAATTAAATATGAAGAATTCATTCTCGAAGTTTTGGCGCGTAATTTCACTACACCCTGTATATATAAATATTATTGATTTTTTATTTTATAATATTTCATCATACTCTTTTATATCCTTCCTGTTCAGTAAGAGGCAACTCTTTGTCTTCTAACATCAGCTTCATCAATTTCTTTGCGAGCAGATCTTCCGAATTCTACAAATAAATATTTTTCTTCATCTTTCCATCCTATACTTATTGTTTTACACACACACACAAACGTAAATGCATGTAGCATAACGTATTATACTCACTGCAAACTTATCATAATAAGCCGTACCACGAACAACGGCAAGTTTGTAAGTACCGTCTTGAACCAAGCTCTCTAATGAATGAAAGGGTAAGACGCGAATAGTGGTTGTTAAAAAGCTTATCAAAGCCGCTGAATATGCGGCTAATAAGACAGTAACCAAAAGAAATATAGAAAAATATGCTATTCTTAACGAAGATCCTCCAGAAAAATCTATAGCAAAGTTATACTTTGTGTAAATACAACTATCAAAAAATAGAAATGAAATGCAAATCAAGAAATATTGAATCAAACCTGCCAGTCCCTGTTGACACAATATACCCCAAATCTCCAGAAAATTATCAATGAATAAATATCCTATTTTACGATCAGTTCCATTACGTATTTTAAGAAAAATCAATAAGATCGATCCAACAATTAATATTCCAAGTATAGCAATCCAAACAGAATTAGTGAAAGTCTATAAAAATAACAATTACAAAATTCATAAAAGTTAAAGCACGAAGAAATAAAAAATAACAAATTTGATTGCGAATTATCCTACTAAAAAGTGAGATGACCATTTAATCCCAAATTTCTCTGGTTCTTGAATAACGAGAAAGTTTTTGATATTCAAAAATGGAAGTGTGTAGTCAACAACATTCAATCTGTCAGTGGTAACAGAAAAACCTGAAAGAGAAATATCAGCACGTCCATAATATAATTCTGCGATTGCTCCAGACCAAGTCTTTTTTTCTGGATTCCATCTTCCAAACTCTTGTAATTCCGAGACAACGTCGAAACTAAAATTAAGAATGGTACAAAGTTCTCTTAATAGTTCACCAAACGTACCGCCTAATTCGCCATCCTTTTTTACAGTTATAAATGATGAATCCTAAAAAGAAAAACAATAGAAAGATCATTCTTTTTAAATATATAATAGAAAAGATATTCAGCCGAAAATAATTTACCTTAATTAAAACAGCTCTCAAAATCAAACCCTTTAAATTAAATCTTCTTTCATAAAGAGAGTCTGGAACCATATTAGTGATTCCTTTCTCTAAACTCCACGTAGCAACATCATCAATCTCAGTTCGATTCTTATCGATAGAATACCATTCCCGTAAAATATTTTCCGTACCACAACGGACTAACATTTCTGAGTCGAATTTTAAATGAAATATATTACCTGGTGGATTGTGACAATAGTCAGAGCCATGTTCTTTGTAAATGAATATCACTAGCCATACAGCTAAAGACATTTCAAAAGTACTTGTTGCTAAGGAGAACTCATTAATCGCGTTATAATTAGAGATCACCGCTACATAATGCGGTCGTACAATTTGTTTTAAATAATTCGATGATTCGTGCAATTGTGAAAAATGCAAGTTTGTGCTCACAATACCTTCACGAGAAAATGCACGTCTCCATTTGAACACCATCGATTTCATTTCCATTTCTGGAAAATAAGAAAATTAATATCGTAAAAATGATAAGAAGGAAATGAGAAATATCTTTACCTTTTATCGATTCAGAATATAAGAAAATTGCGGATTTCGATGCATATAATTTGCAAATGTCTAAAATAAAAGCAGTTTGTTTGTCGCCAATAGAAAAATCTTGCGATTTTGCGATTTTTGGAAGAAAAAGAATGACGAGTATGTTTAATCGAACAATGAACATCATTTCAATATCGATAGGACTATTTTTCAAATTAAACGGATCAACTATTACGTTCTATAAAAATTCATAGGAAAATATTTACACGTTACAAAATGTACAGTGCATAAAAAGTAGAGTGTGGATACCTAAACTATTAAAAAAATTATTGTCGCTAATTTTAGTCGATTATTTGGTTATTCCGAGTGTCGTACAGATCGAAGTACTCGCGACGTATGTTTGCACTGTGCATATTCGCAATAATTTTATCTTTACTAGCATATTATCGATTAATAAACGTTCGTTTCATTTTCCTTCTTTATTACCTTTTTTTCTTTGGTGTCTGAATATACAGGGTGTCCGTGCAGAAATAATCGTGTAAATATCTCGCGACTAGTTTCAGTTACCAGAAAGTTTAATAATAGAGATTTTTCAGGGTTTAGAATTATCTACAAAGTGTGTGTAATCATTTTTTTATCCATAATCTTCTTGAGTTATGAAGATAAACTTAGTTTATATATATGTGAATATTATAATATTATATATATGTATGTAAATATATAATATATATGTATTATTTTATATATATTTATATATGTTTTATATATATATATATATATATATATATATATATATATATATATATATATATATATTATATATATATTTTTATTTTATTTTATATATATATATATATTATATATATTTATATATATAATATATATTTTTATTATTATATTAATATATTAATATATATTTATATTATAATATATATTTATATATATATATATATATATATATATATATATATATATATATTATATATATTTATATATATAATATATATTTTTATTATTATATTAATATATTAATATATATTTATATTATAATATATATTTATATATATATATATATAAATATATATATATATATTATATATATTTATATATATAATATATATTTTTATTATTATATTATTATATTAATATATATTTATATTATAATATATATTTATATATATAATATATATTTTTATTATTAAATTAATATATTAATATATATTTATATTATAATATATATTTATATATATAATATATATATTACTATATATATAATATATATATAATTATATATAAAATAATATATATATTATATATATAATTATATATATATATATATTTTCTTACATTTTTATAGTAATTAATTTTGTAATTCTTTTACAATAGAAATCATATATAATAAAACATTACATGTATACATCAAGATAATCGGCATCTTATCGAACAAATATGTTATTTAGAAATCAAGCATATATATTTTGATATGTTGAAGATCATAACATGTAAGTGGCTTCTATACAGCTTCTAAGTATTATATAATCTATTGACTAATTTTTAAAATTGTAATCCGAGAAGCAACTTTTTTAATAAGATGAAGAATATCTCGTAAACTATACATAGTATTTTTTAATTGATATAATTTTAATTGCAAATAATCACTATTATATAAATATGTAAAGGATTTATAGATATCTATTTAAAAAAAAGACTATGTTGATCTTCATGGATTGAAAAGGTTATGAGTAAAAAAAGATCTTTATATGCATTTTGTAGCTAATTCAGAACCATATAAACTTTTCTTATTAAACTTTCTTGTAAGTTCAATTAGTCACGAGATATTTCTTCAGATATCTGTGAACTAACACCCTGTATATTGTCCGTATTTATGTATCCATCTATATAGACACGTTTCACGATTATTGTAGATACGATTGTAAAATATTAATAAAAATTATAAAAATTTCACTTCCATTGAAATAATTTAATGGATGTTCTAATCGATATAAACGAGGAAGAACTTGATAATGTGGTGCGACCATCGCACGCAAAGTCTTATTTATTAACAAATATATTATATATGAGAATTTCATTTCCATTTAAATATTTTAATGGGCATTCCAATCAATATAGACGAGTAAGGACATGATAAAATATGTGGTCTGATCACCACATGAAAAGCCTTATTTCAACAAATATATCATCTAGAAAATAATAAAGTTGACCATATACACTTTCTATATAAGTAAGATTTTGACCAATCGAGTTGCTCGATTCGGCCATCGGAATAGTAGCTCTAGCAATAAATGTAACATTCGAAATATTCATCATATTGGAATACTATTATGCTTCTCATGGACAATTAATCAGATTATGAGGTTATCTGAGGTCACAATATAGATAAAATAGATCCATATATCAAATCGGTTAAATCATTGATATTATTTAAATGAATAACGAATTAAAATTTTGTTTCATTAAAAAAATCGTAAAATGAATTATATATACGATAAAATGTATTATACATTTATAATTTATGTTGAATGCATAAATTTGTATTCATTCAAAGATAACATAAGAAAAATGTATTCCACAGTAATTGATAAATTAACTCTTAAAATTCACAAAATGTTTTTTATATATTCCAAATAACTCACCTTTATATGCTATACCGCAGCAAATAATGCCGTGTGATGTCATACTATCGTAACAAAACTACATTACGGCATCTTGCAGACTACTATGTTACGATTACTGTTACAATTACGAAAAATGTATATTACCAAAATATAATCGTTTATGTATAAATACGTATAGATATACAAAAACCTTATACTTTTCGATAAGAAATAAGGTAAAAAAATATTGTCATGTAGACTAACTATTTACTTTCCGCTGGTCCACATTTCCACGGTGGGTTCATTAAATTTGTCACTGCTATATACATTCATATCAAAAGAAAATAAAATCATTGATCAAGCAACTTAGTGAGCTAGATTAACACATATAATATTAAGATGTGGTTAGAATGTTTAATTACAATCTTTTTCCTTCTTTTTTACGATATTACAATTGATTCATCTTTCTTTGATAATTCAAAACGAAGTGCAAAGATATGAAATAAATAATGGACAATCACCTGTAGCAAAATATTTTTACAAACCTGTGAACATAATGATAACTTTTCTACAATCGAGGAAGATCAATTAAAACGGATTGAATCCTCATGTACACATTTTTCTGTGGCATACTAAGTAGGAACTACAAATAGGTTTATAGATATTTATTTAATTTTTATTTACAACGTACACATCTTTTCTGTTGATATATTAAATGTATATTAAATATGATATATATTTAAATGTGATATATATTAAAAATGATAATATATCAAATAATATATTGAAAACAGATCTGGTAGATTAATTGGTTCTAGTAGACGTGCAATGTATACAGGCACTTTATCGCCCAAATAACCAGACATAAATCTTGGAAACTAAACAGGCTGATTAATTTGAAATTTGAACACAATACTCTCAGATATATTATCTACAAAGTAGAGTATGATTTTTGCTATGTGTTAATTAGTTTTTTAATATTAATTGTTAAATTTCTGCGCAAAAACAGTATTTCGTTTTCCACCGCCCATTTCACAAGATAAAAGAATTCTATACTACTTTATAACCACAATATTCACGAATAAGAAAGTAATTTTTTTTTCGCTGTTACAGAAATCTACTTCCAGTTAGCGACGCGCGTCTGGCGAAGGACTTTGCAGCATCACCTAGGAACGCCGCCATTTTTTAATATTTTTAAATAACGTGTATGTGACAGATTGTTTAGGCTATAAAATACCATGTGCCAAAAATAAAAAAATATTCGTTTGATACTTTTAAGTTAGTAGATTGTTAAAAAAAGCCCACTTTTCGAGCGCTCTGGATGGTAAATAATTTTGTTAATTTATAATATAATTTAAAATAAGAGAAGTAATCAATGTCATGTAATCAAATATCATAATTGATTTAATAATTTTTAATCATGTAATAATTACACTTTTGATTACGATTAAATCAATAATTTATTTATAAGAACAATATTATCAATATTTTATGGAAAATACATATGTATTATTCAGATAGTTATAAAACAATAGTTCTAACAAATTACTTATTTACTTTGATATGCGCGTGTAGTAGTATAACTATTATTTCAAACATTTTATCGAGTAATTTATATACATTCAATACATTTATTTATTATTGCTTTATATGAGCACTTAATATCTTGACAGAAACTAAAGATGACAACCAAGTGTTACATAAAATGAAAGCTTTTTCTTATCTTAATGATACATATTGAAATTATTGTTATTCACGCAAGAAACTGTAAGATTTTCATATTACATATATTACTTAATAACTTCAATTTTTTTAATCATAAAGCGATATGAAGAAATATATAAACTTAATCATTAATAAAATAAAAAATTAATCATTGCATGATTTAGAAATTACTGATCCATGATCACGAATTATAGAAGTAATTATGATTAATGATTTATTTTAATAATAATTAATTGATTAATAGTTACAGTTACTATAATTACGTTTAATAATTGATTATAAAAATTATTAAAAATTGACTGTCCTAATTCTATTACGTTATATATTATATATTATATTATAATATATGCGTGATCATACATCGTAATTGCTATCATAGCAAATTTGACATACACATGCGATCAAATTAACTTTCTTTAGATGCAAAAACATGTTAATTGAAGAACTCGAGAAGACATCATTCTATTATACCGTTGAATCAGGACTAATACACAAAAAACTTTTTCTCTGTCTATGAAATACATAGGTATATCATACTTCATATTAAAAATCGAAATAGTTCAAACGAATTAAGATATGCGTCCATGCATTCGATAAATAAGGAAAATGTTTTATACACACGTCCCCACGTGTAATATAATAACATGATTAATTGACATAATGAAATGATTAATTTACAAGTTATGATATATATCTTAGAATTAGTATACTCCAATTGCGTAACCGTGTTTGCTGAATTTTTTCTATATATCTCTAGTGTTCAAATAATTGGAGTACATTAAGATATACTAATCCTTGAAACTTATAATACTCAGAGATTTAACATTTCAAGATTCATGATGATAAAACCTATTTTTTCTTCTCTATATATATGAGGAATCAGTATCTGAAAACTTGCCGCGTGCTTTCGTTACATCTTGTATATATGAACGTTATTTAATTTTTTATTTTATACTACTTCATAAATCTCTCCAATACTCTTAAATACTTCCAATACAAAAAGCAACTTTTCTTCTTGTAGCATCAACTTTATCATTTTTTTGCAAGCAGATCTTCCGAATTATACAAATAAATATCTTTATTCGTCTTCATATTCTGCTTATTTTATACACACAAACACACGCAGGTACACGTACACACACACATACACATATACCACATTCACTGCAAATTTATCATAATAAGCAAATTGGTGAGTCTTCAACGAAGCTCTTCAATGAATGAAAGAGTAAAATGGATCATAGACGTTATAAAGCTTATCAAAGCTGCTGAATAAACTGCCAATATAACGATAACCAAAAAATAGAGAAGTATACTATTTATAAGGAAAATTTATCAGGAGAATTTACAGCAAAGAAATACTTTTTGTAAATATAACCGTTAAGAAAACGAAATCAAGAAGATCTCCAAACAGAATGAGTGAAAGTCTACAACAATAACAATTTTTTAGTTAATGAAGATTAACGCATAAAGAAGGATAATATTACAAATTCAATTGCAAGTTATCGTACTAGAAAGTAAGATGACTATTTAGTCGCAAATTTTTTGTGGTTCTCGTAAAAAGAAGCAATTTTTGGAGATCAAAAGAACAAGTGTAAAATCAACGGCATTCAATCTGACATTAGTAATAGAAAACTATGAAGAAAAAATGTCAGCACGTCCAATATATAATTCTGTAATTTCTCCAGACCAAATCTTTTTTCTGGATTCTATCTTCTATACTGTTCTACTTCCAAGACAATGTCGAAATTAAAATTGAGAGTGACACAAAATTCTCTTAATATCCTATCGTATATCTAATACGCCATCTTTATTTATAATTGTGAATGGAGAATCCTAAAGAAGAAAAAGCATAAAGAAAGAAAAAAAAAGATAAATCTTTTTAAATAGAAAATAGAAAAAATATCTAGAGAAAAATATTTTACCTTAACTATAACAACTCTTATGACTTTCAAATCATATCTTCTTCTATAAAAAAAATCTGAAACCATTTTAATGATTCCTTTCTCTAAACTCCACGTAGCGATATCATTGATCTCGATACGACTTGTATCGATCGAATACCACTCTCGTAAAATATTTTCCATACCGCAACGGACCAACATTTCAGAATTGAATTTTAAATGATATATTATTTGGTGGATTGTAACAATAATCGGAATCATGTTCTTTTAACATGAATATCATTAGCCAGCTGGCTGAAAACATATCTAAAGGACTTGTTACTAAAGAAAATTCCTTAGTAGTGTTGTAATTAAAGATAATTACGATGTAATACCATTCGCCTTACGCAGTAGAATGATTCACGCAATTGTGTGTAGCGTAAACTCGATGTTGCAATACCTTCTTTGAACCTACCTTGAACATCATCGCTGTCATTTCCATTTCTAATGAAAAAAAATTAATATAGCAGAAATAAAGAAAATAAGATCAGGGATATATTCACCTTTCATCGATTCAGATAAAAATAAAGGTAGATAGAAATTCATATGATCTTATAATCTTCGAAAGAAAAAAAAAAGAAGAAGATAAAGAAAGAATATCTTTAGTGACCCAAAAAAGTCATTTTTTTGTTTGTCGATTAATTATTATGCTATTTTTTAAATTGATTACTATTCTCTAGAAAATGGGAGTATTTCTATCTATGAAAGATGGCATAAGATTAAATTTCTAAACTATTAAAAGAATTACGTTTTTTTCTATTATTATGATTGTCGTGCAGATCGGAAATCATGCAACATGTATGTACATATTCGTACAATAAAAATGATTTTATCTGTGGCATTAATTTATTATTTATAAATTAATAAACGTTTTGTCTCATTTTTTGTTGCTTCCTATATATATATTATGTATTTATATATATATATATATATATATATATATATATATATATATTTACATATGCACGTTACATATTATTGTACATATGATAGTAATATATTAAAAGAAATGATTCAAATTTTATTTTTATTGAAATAATTTAGT